TTGCTGCTGCTGCTGCTGCCGCCGCCGCGGCGGCCGCCGCCGCCGCCGCTGCCGCCGCCGTTGCCGCCACGTCCATGGCCTTGCTGGGTCAACGGTACAGTGATACCTGATGCACTTCAGCGCTGGCACCCAACATCCCAGGAGGTGGGCTCGTCATTCACCACTCCTTCAGGTGCCCCCACCGACCTGCTGTCCCCACACCCCGACACCAACTGCCAGGGCGCCCCACCTTGCTGGCGCGTCTCACGACGTCGACCCCACCGTGCTGCACCTGCTGCCCTCCGATGCCTTCTGGGCGGCGTTTGAGGCGCGCTATGGCTCCAACCCCACACTGGCGCACCCTTCTGTCAAGGCAGCAATGGAGCCGCTGCTGAGGGCCGACTTTCGAATGGCGGAGACATACCAGGTGTTCAAGAGCAGGCAACATGAATAACGGTGGCAAGGGCAGGACAACTGACTTGGCTGCGCGTTGATTCTCGGCACGATTTGTTGATCTACCACGCTGCCACCTAGTGCGGGCCACGTCACCCAGCCGAGTGATGACCACCACCTTCACATCCAGTTGGTCCTAACATGGTCCCCATCAACACCAGATGTCGCAGCCGTCTGTGCCGCTGCAGTGCCCGCTGGTGGCAGTGGCAGGAGGGGGCGATCACCGCTATAGGGCGGAGCAGGTGGGAATGATAGGAGTGGGCTTGTTGCACACTTTTGAACATCACAAGACTGAGATTTATGTGGAACAAAAATGCGTGTTTGTAGTGCAGTGCGTCCCCTCTCATGCACTAATCGCCCTCTTTCAGAAAGCCTCATGCGTCCTCTTTCACGTTGCATGGTGTCATTGGGCCGCTGTACTGTGAAAGTCTCACAAGTTGCTCTCTATCTTGGTCGGCCCCAGGTGTCCCAGTGGCGGTGCCACGCGGGGGCAGGCTACGGCGAGGTCTGGCTGGAGGGGGCGAGGCACAGCTACGTGGCCGACCCGCCGCCCCTGCTGCTGGAGACAGTCAGGCAGGAGCTGCTCTTGCGCGCAGCTGGTTAGTAACGGCTGTCACGACTGACGCGGGTCGATGCGGTGGGCGCACAGGAGGGTGGCGCACTGGCAGGCAGCGGCGATGCAGGCAATGGCCGCAGCAGGCAGCAGCAGCAAGGAGACACAAGTACTGTACAGCATGGCAGCTTTGGCGGCAGGATCTGAACGACAGCCATTCAAGCACGAGTGCTGCTCCTTGCGGGATGTGGCCTTGATTCATGTGGGGACAGGGGGACGGCGTGTTAGAGCTGCAGATGTGGTGAATCCCACTGCTCCTGTGGTAGGCTGCCACAGTGCTGTTGCTGTTTTGTAGGCTCAACTGCTGGCTAAGTTTTGATGCACTGGAGGCCAACAGCTGTTAATGATCGACAGCGCCTGAGGTGACGTACCACCTGGCACCTTGCAACTGCACAACACATTGTCATACAGTAGCACAAACAACGCCACCGGGCCGCTGGCCTGCACAGCACGCATGTTGACAATCTCAAACAACTACATCGGACATCCAAGAAAACCGTTACTGAGGTACACTCGTCATGGCATGACGAGCACCGAACGAAGCTGCCGTGTGCCGAATTAGTTTTTTCCGGTAGCTTCTCTGTTGTGAGAGTTCCCCCACGCACAAACACGCAATAGTTCTGCTGCTAAGCTTTGAAATAGTCCGGCATCTTTGTGTACCGTAGTCACAATAAAGGCACGTGCGTGGTTGCCGCAGATCTTACCGTATCTCCCATTCTCTCGTCTTGGCGGGGTGCACTTAGAGCGACTGTTGTTTGTTGGCCTCCAGCCATGAGTGTGTCCGTGCCTTGCCCCAGCATGTAATCAGATCGCACAGCTGTGGAACAGTACTGCAGCAATTTGTCACCCTCTGCCAGCTGCCCTTGGGCATCAGCCCACCATCTCGCAGCACCCAGTGAGCTCATAGTATCAGGCAATGAAGTCCCCAGTGTCTGCGCCAACGCCATGGCTGTTTGCAGGCCACCTTCCACAGACTTCTGCCGGCGCCCCCAGGGGTGAGCGCCCGAGAGGCTTGTGAGCAAATTACGTCCCATGACCACACCTGTTTGCTTGTACCAGCCTAGTCTGCCAGGGAATTTTCAATGAAATGTCTGCTGGTTCCGCCTTCCACCGCTCCTCTCAGTCTTCTGCATCCCGCCCGCGGGCCAAGGAGCACGGGTGTTTGGCGCGTGGGCCAAGGCGTTGGCACCTGATGTTGCGGTGAGCAGCAGGGCGAGAGTCTGCTGCAGCACTTGCCTGCTAACACCCTATCATACGGCACTGCCGCTGCCAGCAAGGCCACAGGATGCCAGTGTCCACCATCGCCTCTCTGCATCGCCGCAGATCCTGCCCGTTGAGCTTCCCGGTCGCGGCGCGCGGAGGCTTGAGCCGCCCATCACTGATCTCTGCGTGCTGGCCTCGGCCATGGTGGACGCCCTGCTGCCAGAGATGATGTGA